TTTATAAATTTATTATAATTAATTTTTAGAATTTAAGTAAAACTGATTTAAATAATAAATCTAATATTGCACAAAAGATATTTATTTATAAATTTACATTAAATTATATTTTAATTAGGGGAGTGATACATCATTATAAGAGGAGGGAGGGAATGTTAAATATCTCATCTCTCACGTGATTGTATGTCTAACCAATCAGAACAAAGAAGTAATCTTATTGTAGCTTAAAATTTTTACCAAAAAAAAAATTTGATTTATTGTCGTCTTAAAATCTGCAATATTCCTTTTATTTCCTGTTAGCATAAAAGGCATAAAAGTAGAACTACCTCATATCAACTTACTCGCCTTCAGAATGCGCTTCCCGGTCATTCAAGTTTCAAAATTGTATATTCTGCGCAGATGCAATGGAAAAATCATCAATGGAATTGGTAAGTGACTTTTTTTGCTTGGCTGGTCGTCCTCATTTTCTTGGATGTTGATTTTTCTTATGTAGGGCAATGAGGAAAGAGTCAGAAAGTATACTTGCAATTGGAACAACAGAGACAATTATAGGTACTAGAGCTAATGGAAAGACAGTGTGCATCATACCTAGGTATTTTAAGCTTATCATAATATTCTAATATATGAAGCGGATTCAAGAAATGACCATCTTTTCCTTTTGTTACAGGTGGGAGAAATCCATCATTTTCCACAAGGAGAATTTCTGCCTCTTCGTGCTGTTTAGATGAGCAATAAGAAGATTTCTGCATTTTTTAATGTCAAGTGAGTATTGACATATTCTGATATAACTTTCTAGCCATTGTCAGAGTACTGCTGATTCATTAGCGTTTATTTTTTAGATTCAGGAAATGTGATATCATTGAATAGAGGATTTTTTTGGTTGATGTATTGCGTGGTGACTGGTTTTCCGTGAATAAGGTCACGTTCTAAAGAGTACATAAAGCCTTACCAGCATAACAAAAGTTTTTCATTACAAGCTCCAAATCGACTACCTGGCCTTGAGAATTGAGGTGGAAACTGTATTTGTCAATTGGCAACGTTATGCCAGCTAGTTTTTGAAAGAGCGTTGCCATATTACGCTCTACAGGATTAAACGTTAACTGACCAGATGCGTGTATTCAAATGGAAAGATAGTCAAGATCGAAGGTGCAGAATATTCTACAATATTAAAGAATGTTTTTCATATGACGCAGATTTTCATCTGGACCTCCATCGACTAAAGGATCCAAATGGGTTTTGATCTGATCGTTAATTTTTAATATCCCATTAAAATGACTTTCTCTAGTTAGTGAATTTAGGTCACTCATATAGGTAGTTGAGCTTGTATCAACTTGATATTGTGGACGTACAAAAATCAAAGTTGACCATTACGGAAAGTGTCATTCGTATCACTTGGATTAATAAATAAGTAAACTAATAGAATAAGCTTTTGCTGCATACTAGTTATACCTGACGAAATTACCTTTCTTAATATGTTGAAATTGACGAAACTGAAATGACGAAACTAGTTTTTTATTAATGACGAAATTATTTTACTTAATTGCCGAAATTATATTTAACTTGATCTAAATTCCTTGTATTAAAATACATTAAAAAATATAATAATTTTAAATTTATTTATATAAAAATATTAAAAAGATGAAACTTTTGACGAAATTACAATTTTTCAAAAAAGAGTTTAGTCAGGTATCACTACTGTATACCAATTAGAAAATCGTGATTGGGTAGGGTAACTGGCGCTTGAAAACTTTGTATAATTTAAAAGGTTCTTCCGACTGCAGGAATACCAAGAGGAATCTTGGCTTTATCATCTTGGGAAACGATAACAGAATGGGTTGGAAATAAGACCACAAATTGTTTTGCTCCTTTCATAAATGCAAGACAATAATGTTTATCAACGTGCTCGTTTCTTTCATTTTGTAAAATGGATGAATTTGCAATAATAGCTGGGTGGTGATGAGTCTTTGCTGCTATAGTATTTGATCGAGATGGCAACAAATAATTATTAAGGGTAGTACAAGAAAGATATTCATTATATTTTGAATTGAGAGCCTCCTAAAGATGTCAAATAGTTCTAACTTTAATGACCTTTTTTCTCCTTTTTTTGTCTGCAGCTCCGAATTTAATACTTTCATATATATTCTTGTGTAAATCAGGATACTGAATCAAAAGAGGTAGATGATCAGGTGAATTATATTTAATCACCTCTTGATGTTCTTGTAAGAGTTTTGCTTTTTTTGTCCTACTTTTTCGTTGGTATTCTGCATGACGCTTTAATTTTCTAACCTTATCATCCTATCATACAAAACTTGCTTGAGAGTTATCATGTGTTTCATTATATTTTTCTAAATCTCCAAGTCAGTAGTAGAATTGTAAATTTGTTGAAGTTCGGTAAGCTTCATATTGGTTGTATTGATAGTTTCTGCAGCTTTTTTTTTGTGTAGCAGCATTAGAAGGTAGAGCAGTATCTGCTACAATATTCTCCTAAATTGTTCTTTGAAGAGTTTGATTGGTTTGGATGGACTTTGAGCTTTGAGATGAACTGAATCGTGTATGGTTAACCTGCAAAAAACCTTGCATTAGAATTGGGGTTGCTAAGTATTCTCTGATTTTATTTTCAATTTCTTCCTAAGATTTATATTGAATCTCTTTCCATGTATTAGTATATTCTGTACATAAACTAACTTTTGAATATATAGGATTTTTTGCATTCACCATACAATAATATCTGAAAGCATTGCAGAATCTTTGATATTGATTTGTAGAAATCTTATAAATATAAGACTTGCTATATTTCAGAGTAGTTAGAAAAGCTTGCATGTTAAGAAGGTTTTTAATAAAGAAATCAAGACGATTATGTAGATGCGATCATGTAAATGTGATCACATAAACGTGATCTTGTAGACGTAATCATTATGAATTACGTGCGAACAATTACGAAAAGTGCATTTTTTTTATTACTAATTTTTATTTAATTTTTATTAGATTGTTCTAAGCTAATATTTTAAAAGATAACTTTAAAAAAATTTATTAATAAAAGCCAATAAAAAATTTTTTATTTTAATTTGATTTTCAAATAATATAATAATACTTAAAGATGATTGGCCATTTGTTTAATCATGTGATAAGTCTCACAGGAAAGGGAAGAAGGGGATTATAGTAACTTATAATAACGTGATATGTGTCACTTCCCTTATTATTTATAAATTTATTATACAATTAATATTTTAGAATTTAAGTAAAATTGATTCAAATAATGAATCTGATAATGAACAAGAGGTATTTATTTATTAATTTATAATATATTATATCTATCAATATTATTTATAAATTTATTATAATATAATTAATATTTTATAATTTAAGTGAAACAGATTCTAATAATGAATCTGATAATAAACAAGAGGTAATTATTTGTTAATTTATAATATATTATATTTATCATTATTATTTATAAATTTATTATAATTAAATTAATGTTTTAGAATTTAAGTGAAACTGATTCTAATAATGAATCTGATAATGAACATAAGATGTATAGAAATGAAGCCAGAAAGAAATTAAAGAATTATAGAAAAAACATGTAAAAATATATGAAATCTAAACAACAAAAATCTTTAAAATTTAAAATTAGAGATATAGTGACTTTAAGAATTTCAGTAAAAGATTGCTCTAAAACTGATAGACCTAATTTACCTTGCAAAATTATTGAAAAATTATACAAAAATTATTATAAATTAGGTTGCAAATCTGAAATTTTAAATATTAGTTATAATGGAAGTAATTTAGAACCAACATCATTAAAAATTTATCAGAACTTGATAATATTCCTAATATCACCATTAGTGTTAGAGAGGCTTCAAGATTACAAAATATTTCTGAAGTTGAAATTTCTGACATAAAATGTAATTGCAAAAAGACTTTTTGTTCTACATTTCGATGTATTTGTAAAAAAGTGGAAAATATTGTAATGTAAATTGTCATCCAGGTGAGGAGGATTGCAATAATCCACCAATGTAAAAGTTCATTACTTTTATTTACAATTTGAATAAAGAAAATATTTTATAATATAAATATATTATTTTAAAATTTTTAAATTTACTAGTTTAATTTATTTAATACAAGTTATAAATAAAAGTTAAACATTAATAAATAAGCAAATAATTTATGAACCACTTAGAATATTATCTGAAGTGATCATTTGGGATATCATCTGAAGTGGTCATTTGGGATATCCAAAGTGACCATTTGGGAAATTGTCTAAAGTGGTCATTTGGGATATCCGAAATAAGCATTTGGGATATTGTCTAAAGTGGTCATTTGGGATATCTAAAATGAGTATTTGGGATATTATCTGAAGTGAGCATTTGGGATAATTCCGAAGTGGTCATTTGGGATATTCGAAATGAGCATTTGGGATATCCAAAGTGATCATTTGGAATAAATGCGCATTTAGGGCAAATGCATGTCCAAAATGATCTTCGTATTTGGGATATCTCAAATGCGCATTCTGATTTGGGATATCTAAAATGCGTATTTCAGATATTAACAAATTTGAGATACAATACCGCTATGCTGAAAATGATAAAATGTTAAATTCTGATTTCTCAAAAATGCAATAATTTACTGGATGGCATTTTGCTAGTCCATAATCTATATATATATATATATTTTTTCAACCCAAAAATTTTTTCTCAATTCATCCATTTGTGCTACCTTTTAATCGCAAAAATTATGTTGTTTAACATTTCATGTTCCTCTACTGGTTTGCAAGTGTTTCTCCTCTGACGGTTGACGAAGTAAAGAGATTGAATAGTAAACAACTTAACGAATATTTGAAAAGGAGACTGGAGGATACTAAGAATATTAATAAATATGCAAATACTATCACAGTAGAACAAGAAGTTAATGGTTCAAATTTTCTTGATTTTACCGCAGAAGACTTTGAAAGGTGGAAAATACTGGGTGGACCAGCTAAAGATATCGAAAAGCTGATTAATGAAATTAAAGGAGGTAAACAAGCTTCATTTTTTCGTTATATTCACCAATAATACTGAATACTTACATAATCTTGTGTTTTTTTTCCTGCTTCTTATCGTCAAACCTACCCAAAAAACACATTCGCCTTTATCGTAACATTCTGGTACTGGTAAGTGAGTTATAATAAATTAGTTAGCGGATTAACCTTTTTAAAACCGCTCACCTTACATGTTCTTTTTCGTAATAATTTTCAAATATTGACTTATTATACAGTACCCCTTGGCATATGCAGAAAAATTGAGGATGAAAAGTTGATAAACTTTTGAAAGGTTTTAAAGGATACAATGTTTACTTTGAATAAAAAGTTCTTTCGACTACCTGGGGATGCTCATTTTTTTGGAAATGATAAAAAACCTTCAATACTGTACATTCGTAAATGCTACAATGACCTGAATGATACTGTTTTTAATAACAATGTAAGAAACTTGCATATCTCAGGCAATCCAGAAATTGGAAAACCTTTTATAGTTACTACCTACTTTATCACCTTGCATTATTATATAAAATGGTTATAAATGACACCCATACCAAAACAGGTCAAGTTATTTTATTTGAGCAAGAAAAAGTCTTTTATCTTCACAGGACACTTCATGTTTATGAGATTACGAGATATTTGAACGATCCTAATGTTTGGTATATTGTGAATGGTAAAAAATGTGATAAGGTTATAGCAAAGACAATTCTTATTTGCATTTCATTGAAGGATCATTATAAAGACTTTGATAAGCTTTCGCCACATATACGATACATGCCAGTGTGGTCTTGAAAAGAAATTGATACATGCAGAAATAAGATTTATAATTTTCTGTCTAGTGATGATATTCAAAAATTATACAACAAGCGGGGAGAAATTTCTCGGTACATTTTGAAGAATACTCACAATATGGAAATTCAAGATCAGCTCTAGGAAGCAATTTATTCATGCAGTGAAAAAATATTCAAATATATTGGTGGAGGTAAAAGTAAAAAGGATATCAGTCACAAACTTATTCTATCTGTTCCAACATTCCAGATGAGAATATTATAAATGAAGTTGATAAGAGAGATAAAGATGACGATGAAGACGACTTTTAGGCTGAGAGAGATAAATTTGGAGTTAAGGATGATGACGTTAGAACTAGCATTTAGACTTAGAACATTATGAGCAATGAAGATGACGAGGTTAAGAGAGAACCATATACAAAGAAAATTATATTATTCGCATCCAATTATGTTGGTAAACAAGTGACCAAAAAGCTCAAAACATCAATATTAAACAAATTGCTTATAGAACTGGAAGAAAGTTTGAGTAATGGTAAAAGCAATCAATTCTTGGGTAGCTGTTTCGAACAGATAGCACATCGGAAATTGCAAAATGGAGGAGCATTCGACATTTATTTTTTAGAACCTAATGGCTAAACAAATTCAACTAAAAGTTTTGAAAAGCAAGATGAGATACTTACATTTTCTAAAATTAAAGATATCAAAAATAATATGTATTATTAACCGGTAAGTAAAATTTTTCCGTCAATTAATGCAATTTGTGCTTTCGATAGTCTCTTTCAGATGATCACATCTTTGAACCATCCAATTAAAATATTTGGTTTGCAAAAAATTTCTGGTAAATTAGCATCTGATGATGAAATCCCATTTTACTTTGTTATGCCGTCACAATTATATGACATATACAAAAAACAGAATTTTGCTATAATTAATAATGCTATTGCCAAAAATGTACCACCTTGGATTATTAACCAGATTAAGTAATATGCTTTGAGACTTGATTTGAGTTCTGGAGGTTTACGTAGAATGACATCTACTGCATTAATTGAAGAACAACTCTCAAATTTATCAACTTTTGAAGAACCATCGACTGCAACAACTACTGAAGATGTAGAGATATCAACTAGCCTCTCCATCCCTGCAAAAAGACCCTTACTAGATAGAAATTTTCTAGATAGAACTTGTAAAAAGAAAAGAGAAGGTCATCAATAATTGTTTATTATACTACTGTATATGTTAAGAATACTGCGTAGTATATCACATGACAACCTTGTGAGACCCTAGAAAATTAATCACTGCCATAATAATATAATACTGTTACTGTTATTTGATAAATGTATTGTGCTATGCTATTTCATATAATATTATGTAATATCATATAGGTAGAAGGGGATTAATGATGTCTTATGTAGTACAAAATTCCAAAAATAGAAATATGTAATACATTAAATAAACTTTGGATAATGAGTAAAAAAACTGACGAAACAAATAAAAGATAAACTTTTTATTTCATTTAAAAGTTTTAATTCTACATTTATTTTACATATACTAATCTAAATGAGTTATTGTTTCTTAGAATAAGCAAAACGCCTATGATTTGTAAGAAAACACAAGTAGAAAAGTATTTTTTACATGTATTGCATTCAAGCTGTGCATACTATTCAGCACTAACTGAAGGACAATGTTTATCATACTTTATCGATATTGAATTTAGATATTATGCAGTATGGATTGGATTCAAAAAATGGTTATCTTTACCTTGAATTACTAGTAGAAGAAAACCATTTGTTTGTTCAAAAAAAGTGGCAACTTCAGAAGCTCATTTTTGTTAATAGCATTCTGGATTTACACATTTTGTATATCTAAGGAATACTTGCACATTTGTGTATGGTTTTCAATCCAAGCTCATGAAACCAGTTCAGTAATTCTATTATTACTATCATTAATTTCCGTATTTGCTTCAAAAGTTATATCTGATAAAGGAGCTGATTGCTTGTCAATATATTCAAAATAGACAGATTTTCCAAAAATCATATTGCGTTGCCAAATGTTACATATAGCTTTACCAGTATACCTGAAATTTCGTAGCTCAAGCTCTTGATCAACAACTTTTCCTTGAAAATCAAGATGCTTGCCAAATTTATCAATAGGAAAAGAAATTCCTACTAGTTTTTTAAATAAGAATAGGGTTGGTAAAAGTCCTAATAAGTCCTAATTGGTCTTAAAGAATTTAAAGATAATTTTAATTTAAATATTATTAATTAAATTTTTTAATAATAAAGTAATCTTTTTAATAATTATTATATATCAATTATTTTATTAGTTTAAATAAAAAAAACCTTTAAAAATAATAAATATACTTAATTTAGAACCTGATCCTAGGACCTAGATTCTAGTTCTAAAATTTTAAAAATATTTTAAATTTCAAAAAGAAATTTAAACTTATTTTAATAAGTAACTTTAATTAAAAAATTAATTATAATGATAATATTTAAAAAAATTTAATCTTTAAAACTAATAATTTTTTTAATATTAATCAGGACCAATTAGAACCAATTAGGATTTTTACCAACCTTAAATAAGGATGCCATAACTCTTTCAATAGGATTAAATGCGAATTGACCTGGAGTATGAGTAAGTATAGTCAGGTAGTCGAAATTGAATTTTTTGAATAAGCGGTAATATTGATGTATATTTTAAGATATCAGGAGTATTCATCTGGTCCTCCATTTACTAGTTTATTCAAAGAGGTTTAATCATATCATTAATTTTGAAAACATATTTGTATTCTCTCATTGATGTAAGATTAACCAAATCTTACATATGTGTTAAAGAGTTTGTTTCAATATGCCACTGGAGTCGTACGTAAATCGCAAGCTGTCCTGCTCTCATCATGTCATTTGAATCAGCCAGATTGATCATTAAATAAACACTTGAAATTAGCTTTTGAGATGTACTGATTAGAAAATCATGATCTTCTACTTTCACAAGCTTAGCAATTAATTGTATTATTTAGAATATACGTCTTACAGCAGGTATACTAACGTTAATCTTCACTTTATCATCCTAAGATATCATAATCGTTAGATCAGAAAATGTGCTTTCAAATTATTTTGATGCCTTTACTGAAGCTAAATAATAATGTGAATCAATGTGTTCTTTCTTTTCATTTTATGAAACATTAGCTATTCCAACTATTGCAGGATGATGATGGGCTTTTGCTGCAATAGAATTTCTATTATTTAGTAACATGTAAAGATAGTTCCCATAATTATTTTTAAAATTTTTAACTAGTTGCAACTTAAGTTGCAACATTTTGAGTTGTAACTATTTATAAATTTTTATATTAAAATAAATTTACAAGAAGTTGCAACCAAGTTGCAACTCAAGTTACAACTTACCGAGTTGCAACTTCTTAATTATAGTGTTCATCTTTAGTAACATGTAATTGCGAAGTGTACTTATTGATAAGTATTCATTATAATTATTTTCTAATTCTTCTTGTAAATGTGTTACTGATCTAACTTTAATTACTTCTTTTCTTCTTTTAGTATTGACTGCACTGAATTCAATTGAATTATATATATGTTTAAGAAGATCAGAATATTCAAAAAGTACCGGAGAACGATCAGCACAATCATATATAACTGCTTCATTCTCTTTCTTTAAATGTGTTGCTTTTTTTAATCTAGACCTTTGCTGATAATCTGCATTCTGTTTAAGTTTTTTTAAGCTGTTTTTTTTTTCTTCAAGATCATTTTTTAAACTTTCAATATGTATATGAAGGTCTCTACAAAGTTGAATATCATTAGCAGAACTATAAAGAGAGATAAATTATACTAGTTTTTTTCAGCTTCTTTTATTTTATCAAAAATTCTTTTTGGGAAAGAGGTATTTGCATAAGGTAATTCATCTAGTTGTTAAAGTGGTAATAAAACTGTTGTATTTGTTATACCTACTATATCTGCATATGAATTATTGACTATTTGTGTTGAATATTTTGTGTATAAAATAGGAAACCCTTGTATAGGAGCTGGTATATTAAAAAAATCTCTGATTATTTCTTCAATATTTTTGTCTTTTTTGTATTTTTTCCATTTACTATTTGCTTCATGAAATAGGATTTCACAATTTTAATCAGGGTTTTTAGTCAGAACTATTTGTCTATACGCGAAAGCATTACAGAAATGTTGATAAGTAGAATTTGGTTCTTTGTAACAAAAGTTTTTAATAAATTTCAGAGTTGAAAGGTAACTTTGCATTTTGAACTGATACGTAAAATGAACGCAAAAATTGAAATGTACGTGTAAAAATTGAAAACTAAGAAAATTAAGAGCTATGATTACTTTAAATGATACTGTAAAGTTATGACAACATGATTAAATAATACAATGGTGATTTGAATTTATCGCTAAATAATAATACTAAAAATGTATATATAAAAATCCATCTTGTATCAAAGTCATATACTGCCACTACAAACTTCTTATTTATGTAAACGAATTACACCATGTCTTACTTGTAGAATAACAAAAAGTTAACATTGTAAAAAGATGTAGATGATTGATATTTTTGACAGATTTTAGGTTTATTTTTTTTGATTTATTTATAATAATGTCTTATGTTTGATAAGGTAAGTAAGTAGGTTCAGGTTTTTCGAACCCAATCAATGACTGTGCTCTACAATAACTAACATAGGCAACCATTGCTTAAGTCTCTTAATGAATATAAAAAAAATGATTTCATATCGTATAGGAATGGAAAAGAGTTATTTTTTGAAACGTAAAATTTACTGACATCTAACCTCCTTTAAAAATATTCCACTATTCTATAAAAGTACTAGATCGGTTGATTCAATGATTAGTATATTACTTTTGCTTCAGAAAAAAATATATAAAATTAGAGTTTCAGGTCACCTAAATATGTATATTGCAGCTGAATTAATATATTTTATATCTTTATTTTGATTGGTTAAAATTAGATATCTTACGTGAGGGAAGGAAGGTCTATCTCTAATAAGATTATATTATGTAATATCTGTAACTCCTTTAATTATTCTCCTGAATTTTTAGTTCAGACTGCGCTTAGCAAAGTCAGCATTTTCTTGTATACTATCTCTGATTAATTATCTAGACTAGAGGTATGTTCTGAATCTGATCAATCTGAATATTTGGTCATTCATCCAAAATTTGACTGAATTTGGATTGATCCATTTATATCACCGGATTGACCAGATGGATTATCAAATATTTGGTGAACAAATTGGACGGTCAATTTGACTTAGTTAAGCACAAATTTTTTTATTTTTTTTTTTTTTTACAATAACAATTATATTAAATCTATGTATTATATCACTCATTCTCTCTCTCAACACACACATACATACACACACAACACACACACAAACACACATACTCTCTTTCTCTCTTCTCTCTTCCTCTTTTCTTCTAGACCTTTTACTTTAAATTTTGACTTGAACAGCTTGAATTCAAACGATAAGTGTAAAATTCTTCCTTTTTTTATTTTGAAACATTACTAACTTTTACTTTACTTCTTTTTTTTAGGAAACGCCTTCTTGGATCTGGATTTCAGCTGGACTATTAAGGTAAGTTGGTGTTTTTGTTTTTTTTGTCATTGGGAATCTTATTAATGTTCCTTTTACTTCTTTTCTTTAGGGGACGTCTTTCTGGACTGGATTTCTGCTGGGCTATGAAGGTAAGGTGGTGTAGGGGATTGTTTTTGTCTTTGGAACACCATTAACGTTTCTTTTGCTTTTTTTTTTAGAAAACGCCTTTCTGGACCTAGATTTTAGCTTGGACTATAAAGGTAAATGGTGTGGGAATTGTTTTGTTTCTTTTTTGTCTTTGGAATGCCATTATTATTCCTTTTTCTTCTTTTCTTTAGGAGACGCCTTCCTGGGCTGTGATTTCAATTTGGATTATAAAAGAAATAGATAAATTTCACTTTTTTGATTCAAGAATGATACTATAAATATTTCTTTGATTTTGGTGTAAAGTTTACACACTTTAAATGGCTAATTAAAAAGGATAGATCCGCTTTTATAAAACAATTAAGATATTCTATAAAATTTCTATATAAAGCTTTTGTTTTATCTAACTTTAAAAAAGATTGGTTGATTTATAAAAATATTTGTTACACATACTCCTTTTTTTTTCACACATGCACTCCCTTTTTTTTTTTTTTGTAAAAAGTTTTCACATTTTTTAATTAATTTTTAATAAATTTATAAACATAGATTCAAGTTCTATTGAAAATAATCAAAATAATTCAAATAAAATTCAAAAAAAAGAGGAGGGTCACAAAAAAGAAGTTGGGTATGGAATTGATTTATATCTAATAATAGAATTACTACATGTCAAGTAGAGGTTATTACAAGTAAAATATGTGGTAAAAAATATCAGCATGGAAATTCAACATGCATCTTAATAAACCATTTAAATAGTAAGCATCAAATAACTAAAAAAACAATTTAGCAAAATTATGTGGTAAGAAATAAATTAAATATATAGTAATTTATTTATTTAAATGTAATAATTTAGTATTAATTAATTATTTAATATATTTTTAGCCTCAAGAATCTTATAAGTTAGGAGTTACATTACATAAGGAGTCTTGTCAAATTGAACTTCGTCATTTATTAATTAGTTGGATAATTTTGATATTCAACCTTTAAATATTGCACAATCAGAATCTTTTCAAAAATTTATAAAAGAACTTATCAAGCATTTGAAATTCCAAATGTTAAATTAATTAAGCAAACCATCCATAGTGCTTATAATCATACACTTCCCTTAATTTAAAAATTTATTGAAGAAAATGCAATTTCAGTTAGTTTAACTATATATATGTGGACTGGTAGAAATAGATTAGGATTTTTGGGTGTTACTTGTACTTTCTTAGATAAAAGTTTTACTATTCATGAAATTATTCTTACAATAGAACATATTAGATATCCTCATAATGCACAAAATATATCTGATACATTATTTATTATTTTAGATGAGTGGGGTTTAAGAAATATAACAAATGTAATAGTAACTGATAATTGGGCAAATATGAAAAAACAATAAAAGAATGAATGAAATTACTTCAAATATAAAGTGACAACCATATGTTGCATATACATTACAGTTAGTAGTAGGAAAAGGGTTAATTTCTGTTAAATTATTAGTTTTAAGAGTAAAAAAATTGATTGATTTTTTTTTAAGACTTAAAAAAAATCAAAGTTTAGAGGAAATTCAAAAAAAATCACAAAATAAAATTGATGTGGTAAGATTTTAATTTTATAATTTATGTTTATTAATTATTAAATTATTTTTATATTTATATAATAATTTTTATAATATTTAGAATGCTGGTAAAACTAGTGAATATTTTTTTCAAGTAATTGCAGATATTTTAACCAGATGAAATTCAGGTTATTATGCTTAGAATAGGTTAATTAAAATACAAAGGTTATATTCAAATGCTAATTGTAGAATAGTAAATAATGAAAATACTAATGCAAAAAAAAATGAAAAGCAACGTGAAAAAATCATGTTAAATTCTGATGAATGGGAACTATTACAAGAATTAGTTATAATACTTAATCCATTTGAAGAAGCAACTGGTTATCTTAGTGAAGAAAAATATATTACACATAGTATTATGAATCAAATATTTGAACAAATTAAACATTTATTACTTTTACCATTATCTAATTCACCTAATTTATCTATATTTACATTACCTACATCACCTACATCATCTACATTATCTATATCATTGATATCATCTACATCACCTACATTAACTGTAATAGCTTTTAATATACCAGAAATATATTAAGAAATTGAAAATACTGCTGATGTATTTATTATGATAGAAGAAGTAAAAATATTAGAAAATAAGGTTATTGAAAATAATAATAATCAAACAAAAAATAACAAATTTAATTTAGATAAACCATTAGAAACTAAAGATCTTTTAGATAAAGTAAGAAAAGATCTTCATAATACTATGTGTTTTTATTGGAAAGTTTTATCTGAAGATTACTTAATATCAACAATACTTGATTCCAGAATTAAGTCTATGAATAATAAAACAGAAGAAAAAGAAATTTTACATAAAAAATATGAAGAATATAAGGATATTATTTACTAATTTCTAATGAATCTTGATCTTCATTTCCAACTCCATCTGAATCATCAATAATCTTAAATCCAATTTATAAATCTAAGCTTTTTTCAATATTTGAACAAAATTAACCAAGAGCATCTGATGAAGTTGAAGAATATTTAAAAGAAAATAAGATTCCCTTTAATCAATGTCTATTTAATTAGTGTTTAAATAATAAAAATAAGTATCCAATTCTTGCTAAAATGGCAAGAATAAATTTAGATATTTCTGTAACATCAATACCATCAGAAAGGTTATTTTCTGATGCAGGAAATTTACTTTCAGCAAAAAGATCTAGAATGAATTCAGAAGATTTTTGACGTATAATGTTTTAAAAAAGAAATACAATTAAAATTAAAAGTATTTATGAATAATTATTTATATTTTAAATTAATCATTTATATAATTTATTATATATAAATAAATTGTTATTTTATTAAATTATAAAACTTATTATAAATCTAAACACATAATTTTAAAGATTTCTATTTTTGAAAAAAAAAGCAAAAGTTCTAAATAGAAAATAAATAAATAAAAATTTTCCTTCCTAAAATTCTAAAATCAAGATCCAGAAAAGTATCTTAAAGAAAAAAAGAAAAGAAATGTAAATGATTTTTAAAGAAAAATAAATGAAAAATGAAAAAAAACATTTTCCCAACTTATCTTTCATAGCTGAAGTTAACATCCAGATCCAGAAAGGCGTTCTCTAAAGAAAATAAGCAAAAGAATTGGTAATGACGTTCTAAAAACAAAAAAGAAAACAAAAAACTCAAAAGGAACGTTAATAGCATTCCAAAGACAAAGAAAAACAAAAATCCCACAAAAAAAGCAGCAAAAGGAATGTTAATAGCGTTCCAAAAATAAAGAAACAAAAACAATCCCCCACACCACTTTCCCTTCATAATCCAAGATAAAATCCAAGTCCAGGAAGGCGTTCCCTAAAGAAAAAAAGCAAAAGGAACATTAATGGTGTTTTAAAGACAAAGAAAAACAAAAAAACTACAAGAAAAACAGTAAAAGGAATTTTAATAGCGTTCCAAAGATAAAAAAACAAAAACAATTCCTTATACTACCTTACCTTTAT